GGGGTCCCAGGAGGGGGCAGTCAGGGGACAAGGAACAGGGAGGCTTAGATAGAGGGTGGGGTTCTGGGGGGCAGGGGTCCCAGGAGGGGGCAGTCAGGGGACAAGGAACAGGGAGGCTTAGATAGAGGGTGGGGTTCTGGGGGGCAGGGGTCCCAGGAGGTGGTTGTCAGGGGACAAGGAACAGGGGGGTTGGGGGCTCTGAGGGGGGCAGTCAGGGGGTGGGAATAGGAGGGAATGGATGGAGGCGGGGCTAGGGCAGGACTCCCTGGGTGCACACCCTAATGAAATGTGGTGCGCACGCCTATGATTGGGACTTTCCCTATAAAACCAGGACATCTGGTCACCCCTAGGAGGAGCCAGGGAAGAGGGTTTCCAGATCTGCCCCCACTAGAGGGCTCTGGGTTACAGCTCAAAGCAAGGCTGGGCTACTTCCTCTCTCTCTCCCTTGGCCACGAGTTTCCTGCTGTGATCTGATCAAGAGATGACTGAACTTCCTGGGTTGGACAGGGCTGGTACAGCTAGGGAGAGGCTGAAGGAGCGCTACCTCTGGGCCCAGCCGAGAGTGGGGAACTGGCCTCCTAGGGCAGCCCTGGAACAACTCCTGCAGGTGAGGGGGAGACCCGGGGGGAAGGGCTGGGGCCAGGCAGGAAAGTGACTCTGCACCAACAGCCCCATCTCTGCTCCCCCCTCTGCAAGTCCCAGAGCTGCTGCCCTCCCTGACCCACTCTGGGTCTTGGCTACAGGAGAGCAAACGCCCCATGGGCATAAGCCAGGGATCATATCTCCCAGCCAGAGGGGAAAGGGAGAGAGAGCGGACCGGGCAGCAGAAGTAATAAGTGGAGAGCGTGGTTCCCAGCTGCCCGGCCCGCCCAGATCTGCTCCCTGCGTCATCCCTGGCCTGATTGGCTTTCCTGGGGACAAGGTGTCGGTGCAGAGAGAGGACAAACCACTTCTGCCTCTCATTAGTCACAGACGGGTCTCAGGGAAAGGAATTCCTCCACAGCCACTCCTTGGAATCTGCCTTAGCTGGAGTGCACAGCGGCACCGACAGGTAGGGTTGGGCTGAAATTGTGAAGCCAATTGTCCAGTTGCTTACAACAGTGGCTCTCAACCGGGGTACGTGCCTCCCCTGCCGTGGGGGTACTCAGATCTTCCAGGGGGGACATCAACTCCTCTAGAGATTTGCCTAGTTTTACAACAGGCTACATCAAAAGCACTAGCAAAGTCAGTGCAAACTAAAATTGCCGACAGACAATGTACTTGTTTATCCTGCTCTATAGACTATACACTGAAATGTAAGAACAATATTTATATTCCAATCAATTCATTTTATAATGACATGGTAGAAATGAGAAAGCATTGTTTTCAGTACTAGCATGCTGACACATTTGTATTTTTATGTCTGATTTTGTAAGCAAGTCATTTTTCAGTGAGGTGAAACTTAGGGTGCACAAGGCAAATCAGACTCCTGAAAGGGGGACAGTCGTCTGGAAAGGTTGAGAGCCACTGTTTTACGCCACACTCAGTGCTACTGCTTAGGTTCATGTTTCGGGCTGAAAGTCTCTGCCCAGGGGGTGAATTTAGTTTGGCAAAGTTTGAGGATAAAACCTCTGAGCCTTTTCCTGAGAAGCGGCCGGGGTGGCGGGTCAAGTTATAACCTGTGTCAGTTTTTCAACACTTCCGTCACCTTGGGACAAAAAATTTTACGGTTGGCAGGAAGAGAATTACCAAGTCAGACACCTTCTCTTTGTAGGCTCATAAACACCTGTTCTGCTGTAGCTTTGCTGTCAGAACTGAATAAAAGATTGTTGGGCAGACACACTGAAATTTTTTCCCCCTTTGATCAGAATTGTTTCCTTACTTAGGGGTCAGTTCCGTAAACACTCACATACAGACTGATTCTAAGCGTGTCAAGGGTCCCACATGCAGGCGAAACCTCTTGGCCTTTGTTTTGAGCAGGGGCCGTGGAGATGGAGAGAATCACGTTTTGCCATTTAAAAAGAGTTTGACCAATTCCAGCACCTTTGGGGCTGGAAATTTTACATTTGACGGAGAGAGAATTCCTAGGTCAGGCGCTTTCCTCTTCGTCGTCTGGTGAAAATCTGTTTGGACGCAGATTTGTTATGAGAGTTGAGTGAATGTCTCTTGTGCGGGAACACGGATTATTTCCCCCTTTGATAAGGTTTGTTTCCTCGCAGAGGAGCTGAGCCTGGTAATGCGCACACATTTGTTTGGGACTGTGTGAACAGTCCCATTAACGTTTAATTTAATGAGAGAGTTTGAAAATATCACAGTCCTGGTGTGGGAGCGGCATTGTGCTGGAATAAAAAGACAAAGGCCGGGATGTTTAAATTCGGAAGCCTAAATTTAGGCTCCTGAATCCATATTCAGGCACCTGGGTAAGTGGCCTATTATCAAAAGTTCTGGGCACTCAGAACTGAAATCCAGCGACGCCCGCTCGGGACTTGTAAAAACCAGGATTCTTATTCAGGATACGGCTCAAGGAGGTAAACTTTAGGATGGTATTTTAAAAAATCACGTCTCGTGCATTACGTCCGAACGACGGAGTCTTGAGGTTCCGCCTGGAGGGAGCGCGCAAAGGGGAAATCGGTGCAAAATGCACTAGAGCTGCTGCTGAAACATCCCCATTTGCACTTTTCGCCTGACAGGCTGCAGGAGAACGTCCGTGTTTTGCTCCAGGTTGTTCCGTCCTCCCAGAGGGCAGGAAAAGGGAATGGCTGCAGCAAAGGCAGTGACCTTCGAGGAGGTGGCTGTGTATTTCACCGCGGAAGAGTGGGCTCTGCTGGACCCCGCTCAGAGAGCCCTCTACAGGGACGTCATGCGGGAGAATTATGAGAATGTGACCTGGCTGGGTAAGTCACCATGGGCATTTCCCATCTACTCGGGTCGCAGGTCCTTGCTGGCGAACATAAGGCTGGGATCTTCCCAGCATCCTCTGTGTAACGAGGAAACCGGGAATCCGTAACCAGCCCTGATCTCTCCTGTTCTCTCTTCCCCGGGGCAGGATTCCCCATCCCTAAACCTGACCTGATCTCCCACATGGAGCGAGGGGAACAGCTGTGGATGCACCAAGCAGGTATTCCCTCCCTTCCCCCATCCTCTGTACTGTGGTATCGATGCTGAAGCTCACCTGTTTCCAGCTGTGGGGAGGAGTTTGGGGAAGATTCAGCTACTGACTGTTCAGATGATGCAAAAGCTTCTGCCTGTGTGACAAACCCAGCGCAGGGAGTGACTCATGCTGGGTTCTCTCCTTCCCCCAGCAGGTGATGGGATGGCCAGTGAGAACGAGGAGGAGAATCCTCAGCAGGGAGGCCCTGAGTTGGCAGAACCACACTGGACGTTCTCAGGAAGGTCCCAGGGGAGCGTTTGCCAGGGAGAGGCTAGCGAGCGTCAGGGCAGGTCGGAGGAGCAGTGGGGAAACCTGCCCGGGCAGAGAGAGGGTAAATCCGCTCCTGAAGAGGGATGTTTCAAGAAACTCAAACAGCTCCTGGACCTTAAGGGGAAGCAGAAGAGAGGGAAGGGAAAAGCAGGTGCTGAATGTGGGCAGAACTCAGGAGAGATGCTCCGTCTGGGAACCCACCTGGAAGTGGCATCCCATAGATGCGGGGAAAGCCCCCAGCAGAACTCGGTGCCTCCACAACATCAGAGCGCAGCCCTCACCATCCAGCAGAGAATCCGCTCAGAGCAGAAACCCTGCCAGTGCCTCGACTGCAGGAGAAGCTTTGTTCGGAGGTCGACCCCCATGGCACATCAGAGGCTCCACACGGGAGAGAGGCCCTACAAATGCCCTGACCTGCAGAGGAAACCTTTCCCGCGTCCAGAATCCAGGAAACGCTTTGCCGAGAGCTCGGCCCGGACGAAGCACCGGCAATTCCACCCGGGAGAGAGTCCCTATGCGTGCCTCGACTGCGGGAAAGGATTCAGCCTACGTTTCAACCTTGCTATGCACCGGAGGGTCCACACAGGCAAGCGCCCCTTTTTGTGTCCTGACTGTGGAATGGGCTTCAACCGGAGAGCCAAACTCACTGTGCATCAGAGGGCCCATGAGGGGGAGCGACCCGACTGCGGGAAAAGCTTCGGCTGGCAGGCACCCCTGGAGCAGCCCGGGAGAGCCCATTGTGGGGAAAAGCCGCGTGTCTGCGCCAGCTCTGGGAAAAGATTCATTGACGCCTTGGCCCTGATTGAGCACCAGAGGGGCCACACGGGAGAGAGGCCTGACAGACACCACAAGGGCGGGAAAAGCTCCGACCTGGCCCAGCGCTCTCCGGCCCCAGAGGAGGGGCCGCGCTGCAAAGGCACAGCCCTGCCAAAACACCGGGCGGCAGAGAGACCCTACCACTGCCTCGACTGCGGCAGGACCTTCAGACGCGCCAACCTGCTCTCCCACCGGTGTGGCCACACGGACGAGCAGCCCTACAGGTGCTCGTACTGCGGGAAGAGCTTCAGCCTACGTTTCAACCTTGCGATGCATAGGAGAGTCCATGCTGGCAAGCAACGCAATCAGGGCCGGCTCTAGGTTTTTTGCTGCCCCAAGCAAAAAAATTTTTGGCTGCCCCCCCAGCCCACCAGTCGCCCCCCCCCCACCCACACCCCCTGCCGCCCCAGCACTGGGCTCTCTCTTCCCCCCCCTGCCACCCCAGCACTGGGCTCCCCCCCAAACGTGGGATCTGCTACCAGCACACGGCGGCCAAGCCCTGGCCCAGCCATGACTCTGTCCCCATGCGGTTGGAGCTGTGGGCTGCACGGAGTGGGAGTACTTCCAGGTGGCAGTGCGGCTGTGGGGCGGCGCGGAGAACACCGGCCCCCTCCCTGGGTCTTTGCGGCGCTGCTGGTGGCCAAGGTGGATCAGTTTGTGCTCACCGCCCTCACCGCTGACATGTTGGCAGC